CACACACACACACACACACACACACACACACACACACACACACACACACTCAAACATTTGTGAAGTACCGAGTAAATGTGTGAATGTGTTGATACGCTGTACTGGCATTTAATTATATTTGTGACTTTGTGTGTGTGCAGCTGAGACCCACATCCATAGAGAAAGAGATATTTCCTGTCATGGCAGAGGAGGGACATCTGTACACCATGGAGCTACAAGGTAACAATACTACTACCTGCAGTACTACAACACAAATCTGTAATACACACTTATTTTATTTATGGCTGCAACTAACAAACATTTTAATTATTGGTTAATCAGTTAATTATTTTTTAAAATAGATTAATTGATTAATTTATCAAATCTCAGAAAGCTGGATCAGTGACAATGGGGCCGATCTATTCAATTTGATATTCATACACCGTATAAATTATATTCTGGAATTTAAATTTTAAAAGTTTTGACCCATTTGTTGCGGTATTAAAAAATGTTTACACTTGAATTGTAATTTCTGTCAATTTAGAAGATTTTTAACCACGTTGCTGGTGGACAATTTAATATTGTAACGATAAATGATAATTCAGTAAATCTATGTATTTATTTGTTACATTCTGTTTTACAAAGTTAGGGAAAGCGATGTTAAACTCCAGCCTGATGTTGTGTTACACATAAAGCAATGATTCCAGTCTCTTCCACACATTGAGACTTACAGATCATTGATTAAACACTAATGTGGGATCAGCACTCATTGACTGTACAGATTAAACAAACAGCGTATTAACTGGTGAGTTTTAGAGGCGCTGGAAGGCAGATTCTGTTACCTTTGGACGGAGCCGGGCTAACTGTCCCCCCCCCCCCCCCCCGTTTCCAGTCTTTATGCTAAGCTAAGTTAGCCAGCTGCTGGCAATAGTCTCATGTTTAGCGTACAAACATGAATCTCCTCAACTAACTTTGGCAAGGAAGCAAATACGTTTTGTTTTTTTTTGTCTTTTCCTTTCTTTAACTTTTTAGCATTTCATTTGTATTAATTTTAACATTTTTATCCAAAAATATGGATGATACAAAAAACTTAAAAGGCAATAATTCTATATACATAAACACATATACAGTAGTTGCATACACATCCTGTGTACTAGTACCCTGTTCCCTTTAACGTAAGCCAGAAACATTTGCCGTACTTTTAGTTTTGCTTGGGACGTTATTGTCTTTTCCTTTATTGCTCTGTTGTCATCGTGTTCCCAGGGATTTTATTTTAACGGTAACATGATGAATATTTTGTGGGAAGTTGACCTTTGTGCTCGCACTGGTCTCACAGCTCGCAGCTCTACCAGACGTAAGTGTTTCTTCTTCACACCCGAACTCACGTAGTTCTGGAGTTTGTAGAGAAGCACCGATGCTAAACAAAAACACACTGAAACCCGATTAGGACCGTTTATTTAATCTTTACCCCCCAGCAGGCTGGACTCTGTAGTGTTCAGATGGAGATAATAGCAGATCAGTGGAGGGAATCTGGACTCGGTGCTTCTCTAGATCCTCGTCCCTCTCGGGGAGCGATCAGCTGAAGCAGTGGAAACATCTAGAAGTTAACTCCCCCCCCCACCTTCCTGTATGTAGTCCAGTGCACACATGATGATGATGATGATGATGATGATGAAGCAGTTCTTCTTGGAGTTTTCTGTTCCTTTTTTAAAACTGGCTTCAAATTTAATCTGGAGTCAAATCGTTAAGCTCAGATTCAGCTACATGAAGACAAACACTTTGACTTCTCATGATGTGTTAACAGATTTTCAGATCAAGAGACTTTTCCTCTTTTCAACTCGCAGGTGTAGGGGAATATTAAATGTGGAGTGTTTGATTCTCATGATAAAGGTGTTCAATGAAATAAAATCAGTACAATTTAGTAAAAGAAGCACAGAGACACATTTAACTGAACTTTAATTGTTTCGTTTCATGTTTTTGCTGGCTTGTTATTCGTTTGAGCTCATTGTTTACATTTTTTAAATTTTTTTTATTTTACAAAGTACAGCCTGAGGATTTAGATTGAGTGTCTGGGGCAGCTGTTTAATTTCAGTTTCTTTCAGAGAGAGATCATTGCATTTCAAAGCAGTTGTGAGCAGGAAACACAATGAAAAGTCGTACTATGTAAAATATTACTAGATAGAAAATGAATAAACTCCAGTATGGTCCATTTAAAGACTGATTTGTTGTCAGCGGAGGTCGGTTCATGATGAGCTTGTGCTTCAGCATCTCAAGGAAGCTTCTGCTTCTGTGTCCTTGTTTCCACGATAACCAACTTCTCTCACTGTGTGTCTCTGTATGTTTGTTTGTTTTATTTGTTCGTCTGTCTGCAGGGTTCTGGATGGATATCGGTCAGCCTAAAGACTTCCTTACGGGGATGTGTATGTACCTTCAGTCGCTGAGACAACACGCCCCCGAGAGGCTGCGCACGGGGCCCGGATTCCTCGGCAACGTTCTGGTGGTGAGTCCAGCTCGTTGGCGTTTCTATGTAGAAATAAACACCGTGCCCGATGATGACCCTCCTTCCTCGCTTGTCCCTCTGCAGGACCCGACGGCGCAGATCGGGGAGAACTGCACCATCGGCCCGAATGTCTCCATCGGTGCCGGCGTGGTCGTGGAGGACGGCGTGAGGATCAAACGCTGCACGGTGCTGAAGGGAGCGCGGGTTCGATCGCACTCCTGGCTGGAGAGCTGCATCGTGGGCTGGAGCTCCTCTGTGGGCCAGTGGGTGAGTGAAGAGCACAGAGGACGTCAACCTCCGGTTCTGAAAAGTGAAACTAATGCTGAAGTGCCTTAAACCTGCATTCTCTCTAATGTCCATCAGGGGGCGACTCCTCTGGTTGTATAGAAGTCTATGAGAAAATGACTCTACTTCTCTCTTGATTTATTACCTCAGTAAACATGAGTTTATGGTCTCAATCTCAGTATTGAAGTCTTCTTCAATACTGTACAATGTGTACTGTCGATACTTTTTATGATTGCTGTGATGATGATGATTTCTGGGTCAATCTGTGTCATCAGGTCCGCATGGAGAACGTGACGGTGCTGGGGGAGGATGTGATCGTGAACGACGAGCTTTACCTGAACGGTGCCAACGTGTTGCCTCACAAATCCATCAACGAGTCGGTTCAAGAGCCACGAATCATCATGTAGCAGCGGACGGAGGAGAAAAAAAAACCCAACGCCTTTTTATACGGACTCGACTAAATACCCAAACTGTGCCAGAAGAGAGAGAGGGAGATTAACAGACGAGTGGAGAAGAGGGGGAAAAAAGAGGACAAGAGAAGGTTTTGTTCTTCTTTTTTTAATTTGGACTCGTTTTTAGCCCTGCTTAGCTGCACCAATCCGTCAATCAGAAACAATGGCGTAAGCAAAAAAGCTGTCAAAAAGCAGCCCGGCCCGTCAGGAAAGTTTATATTTGTTTAAACGTCTGTCAGAGCTGCAGGTAAAAACATCCAACGCTAAAGTCCTGAACGTGGTGGATGATAAATATCTCCTGTGAACACTATTTCGATAGAGGGGCGAAGTCCCTCCCCCTTTCCGGTTGACCACCATGGGACCGTATTTCGGGAAAAAACCTGTACGATAGTCACCGATGAGAGACGTATAATTATTTGATCCCTTTAGAATTGTGCCATAAGTAACGCATATTTAAAATACATTTTTGCACATCAAGAAAGTTGCATTTTGTCATAAAACTCTTGAAGTGTTCCAGGATGTACTAACGCAAACAACGGGTCTCGCTCGTCCTTTCGCTTCCCCGGCTCATAACAAGATTTGCTGGATAAAACACGTCGGATAACATTATAAGATAGATGATGGCTAAGCTAGCTAGCTAGCTAGCTAGTCAAGGTAACGGCTGTGTTGGTGACGTACATTGAGCGAGACGAGAGATGTAGTTCACTGATCGGTTTCACACGAAACTAAATAATACTACAACAAACTAAGGTCCCATGGGGGGCAACGGAAGGGGCGGGGCTTAGCCTCTCTATAGGGCGAGGGCTGGTGTGGGCTGGGTGACTGTCAGGTGGTGGAGGGATTAATATGAAGCCTGTTCAGCGGGCGATACAGAGCAATATGAACACTGCTGTTATGATTCACTATACATTTACATTTCCTGCACAGCTACAGAAAACAGGCACTGAAGGATCGTAATGCTGCAGAGACTGGAATCATGACTGACACTGAGATTTCTGATCTGACATGTTCAACTAAATGCAGTATAAGTTAATTCTTTGGCCTGTCCCTGGGAGAGCCACAAGCTGTAAACAATCTAACATTTTATCATGTGGTTTAAGAAAGAGTTGATTATTATCTGATTTGAGTTGTTTGTGTCCACTAGATGAATGTAATTTGATCGGTTTCTATATAAAGATATTTAAAAAGTGAACAAAATGCAGCAAACCTTTTTAATATCTAACTGCAGTTTATCAAGTATATTTACAGATGTTTCCGTCAGGATGCATCTGGGATATTCTACTTGTTTTTCATTTATGTTTAAGTGTTTCTTTAAGAGTACCTTAACGCCCCCTGAAGACCTTCTTTTTTTATTTTGCTAACCTCCAGTGGTTTAACTCGTCACTTTGCTGTGATGATGTACAGGTGTACTCCGGGACACTGTGACATCACTAATGGGTGTGGCTACAGGTGCAACAGAAGTGAAACGAGCGAGAAGCTTTCCACTGGAGAACAAAACACGTTAGTCATGACACAAGGTGAATTTATTTTTCCTGTTTCATTCTTACATTACCTCAATATCTGTAAGAAGTTTGATGAATCTCAATCTTTAAATTGCTGACTACTCATTCATTACACACTAGGAAACTAAATCGTTGGGATGAAAGATGGAAAAGACAACTTTGCTGCTGTTAGATCTTCATCACAAGTGGGGCAAAAAATGTAAAGTTTGTCCCAAAGGTGGTGCTCGAGTTAAGTTGATGGTTGTTCCCTAAATCTGTATGGTGGCTATTCTGGGACATTTCAGACTCGGCTCATCTTTCATCAGTCGAAGCTGTACTTTCTCGTTCGCAGTTAGCTACAGCTAGCATGTTAATAATGATGTTAACATGCTAATGTTATGATTTAGCTTGTTAGCATGCTAACATACTAATTTCTAGCATGTTCCCATCTTCCACCACAAAGACCCAAGAGTTTAATTCCTGAACGTCGTGCTTCCTCTTTTGTGGTTGAAGCTCATCATTGAAAGGTGATAAACATGCAAATCTTTAGCATGTTAGCAAACCATTTCAGCATTCATCTCAAGCAATTGAGAAATTCACTCTTTACTTCTAAGAGAACTGAAATGTTGGACACGTGAAAACTTGTCTTGTTAGTGACGCTGGATGAAAAGTCAGGATTCAACCTTTTTGGGGGCCGTGAATTTCTGAACCCAATTTTCATGTGAATCCGTCCGATAGTTACAGACTGTCAGATTTTTTTTAGATTTAGGTATATTAACGAACGTAGAGGGAAGAGTCTGTCGGTCTTTTAGGCAGATTTCACTCCTCACATTCGAATGAAGGGAATAGATGAAGCTTCTAGAACTGTGTGAAAAACAAGACATTTTAACATTCAATAGACACCTGGTAGTATAATAAATTGTCAAACTTCTACAGTTGAAGGTTTCTGAAACTCGTCCCTGACAGCGTCCATGTTTTTGTCACGTCAGCAGCTGATCAACGGTATTTAGAACATGTTAGGACTTTGACTGTGTCTGAATGAATGAAGTCAATTCTTGTAATGAAGCCTTTTTAAAAAAATGAATAATATAATCTAATGACCACATTCACATGTCGCCTCATCTCTTTTGTTTTGTCTTGAAGTGTCACTTCCCTCCATTGCACACATTAAGATCAGTTTTCTGGTTATCATCAGATCAGCCTGTGGAGACCGCTGTGTGACGTCGTCTCTGATGTCATAGTGATGTCATTGGGGAAATTTCAGTTTGAGGTTGTTGGAGACTACAAACGTAGAACAGTCTGCGAATCAAACTTTACCAACTGTTTACCAGGCACAGAGGGGTTAAATAAAAGATGCTGGCAAGTTGCATTATGGGAAATGTAGGATCCAGTGTTTTCAGAGCTTTATACTGTCAATATATCTGCTGCTTTGATTACACCAGTTTATTTTTGTCTATTATAAAATGAATCAAAATGTACAGATTATAAGAGTAATGTTTTCTGTGGTGTTTGGTTTTTTCTGT